ACCCGGTAGAAGGCCATTAGTGGTGGCACGTAGCAGGATAGCATGAGCTGAGGTGCCAAATCAAGACGGAAACTCCCACAGAGCATAGTCTCTCATGGCTTGGCCCCAAAGCTTCAAAGCCCTTAGCCGACAGTTTTGCGCCGTCCAAGCTAGGGATGATGAGCGAGCAAGGTAGCACGAACAGCAGCAGTTCCAGAACTGCGACTTCGAACCCTTGCACCCGCCAACACATCCCCCAAAGCCCCAAAAAAAGCGCAAACAACCCGATCCCTTAAGCCCTGTGCGAGTGTGAGAGTCTCAAAACCCTGAGGTGTCAATGGCGAGGTCTACCACATCCGCCGTTCTGGCCCAAGGCAAGACCAACTGAAGGCTCGTCCCGAAGTTCTGTAACTTCCAAGGCTTCTACTGTAGAAGGGCTTGGCAAGGGATCTACTAGAAGGCTTCCATAAAGGAAGCTTCTAGAAGTCTAGAAGGGCTTTATATGTGTTGCCTAATGCGGGCTTGTGTGACAGTGGGGCTTCTGAGTCCAGTCTTTCGGGCTTTGGCCCCTGAGGACTTTAGTTTCTCAGGTTTAGGGTGCAAGATTTAGGGTTTGAGGATGTTTGAGGTTTATGGTAAAGCTTTGAAGGACCTTGGTGTCAAGAGGCGTTACGCTATACATTTGGCTTTTAAGTGCGTGATCGGGGATTGCACACTTACCCCAGCTCCGTGTCTCCGTGTGTGTTTGCTTGTTTGCTTGTTTGTTTGTCTGTTTGTGTGCTTGCTTGTTTGCTTGCTTGTTTGTTTCTTTCTTTCTTTCTTTCTTTCTTTCTTTCTTTCTTTCTTTATTTCTTTATTTCTTTGTTTTTTGTTTGTTTGTTTGTTTGTTGGTTTGTTTGCTTTGTTTCTTTGTTTCTTTGTTTGTTTGCTTGTTTGGTTGTTTTTTGCTTGTCTTTTTGTTTGTTTGTTTGTTGGTTGGTTGGTTGCTTGGTTGCTTGGTTGCTTGGTTGCTTGGTTGCTTGGTTGGTTTGTTTGTTTGTGTGTTTGTTTGTTTGTTTGTTCGTTTGTTTGTTTGTTTGTTTGTTCGTTTGTTTGTTTGTGTCGGTGCTTTTGTGCATCTTCTGTTGTTGTGTTTTATCGATAGGTTTCCTTTTCGAGGGGTTGGTGTTCTGGGCACCGGGCCAGCGTAATGCCAGGCGGGGAGGTTGGGGATATCGAACAGACGGGCGGAGGAGCGAACGAACGATGTGAGCTTGCAGCACAGCTTTCAGAGAATGCCGTGCCGAAGTACCTCTACAACCCGAGATATCTTTGGAGGCCACAAGTAAAGACTCTCGCATCTTTGGAGCGACAACACGAGAACAACGCAACAATCATGCGGATCATATGTTCTGGTGATGAGGTCGCGAGCACCAGAAACTCCGAATCACACGTTTCGACTTGAGCTTGCCTGTTTCTGCTCATGCACTGAAAGAGTCAGATGTAGCGATCTAGGCTAGCTAGGATGCCGGGTACGGGCTTTGATAGTAAGGTCGTTTGGTAGACACCCTGGCCGAAGCCCGAAGCTTTGGCATCCTCTTCAGGCAGAACAGAATCTGAGAGCAGTTGCAACACTCCGCCGCCGCTTCGCTTGCGGCATTCGAGTATCTAGGGCAAAAGGCGGTCACCTTGGCTGAGCCCGTTTGCATGACCGGACACGAAATTTGAGCCCACACCAAAGCACCATGCCTGTCCAAGATCGCTGTGTCGTGCTGGTCTCACAGCCGGCACCCGGATTGGTGCTGCCCGGCGCGTCCTGGCAGTGTTGGAAGCAGGGAGCTGCATGGTTGCTGATGATCATTGATCTGTCCACTTATAGACGGATTGTCTCATTGGTAGGAGTGTCCTGGTATTAGAAACTTGCACCGTAACTCATCTGGCCAGCGATTGTTTCGAGTGGTGGAATTCATTCTTTTTTCTGTTCTAAGCTATTCAGCTGTGTCTGGAAACTGCGGGAAAAAGCAGTATGTCACGCTTGTGTTGTGTCTTGCGCGCTGGTCTCAGGTAGAGGCTCAAAACCCGAGCCCTTTGAGATTTCGGACATGGGCTTGGGTTGTTCTCGTCCCGTAGATGCAGTGCAGGGTGCCAATGTAGCCTCAATAAAGCTCCAAAGAAGAAACGAAGCTCTAGCCGAATCCGAATCCACCTACTTAGTCTGATACTTCATGGCAGCATGAGAGCACACACAGTAAGTGAGCGCAAGTTGCAGCTATTCTTGGAAAGCCTGTGCCACAAAGTCGCACCAGCCCCAAACTCCCAACATCTTGACATCAAGGGCTGTGTGCAACTTCACTCTTTTCGCAGAAGTGGGTTTGGAAGTCATTTGTTGGGTTCACAGCGGGTCACTGTGCTTCAGGGGTTCAAGGCTCATCAACAACTCACCTAGTCATGGCATGCTGCATGCTGCTTGTCCTGAGGGAGGCAGACCCTTCCAAGACGTGCTGGGTGGTTCGGAGCATCCGAGACCATTGCTGCAAGGACAGGTCCGGGGCAGCTGCGAGTAGTTGCCGCGCCGAAGGCGTTTTCTCGTTCTTATAGGGTGAGCGCACAAGAATCTAAGTCACCGACGCTTCCGGGCTGTGGGTGGGTTGGCTTTCGCGCAATTGAGCTAAGGCTCAGCGCAATACGATGATCGCAGCCTGTCCCGGCGTTGGAAGCTTGCGCTAATTTCGCATAGCTACAGCAGTTTCGAGCAGATCTGGTTGTCGTCTTACGGGCGTACACCGAGTTTGACGAAGTTTGACCTCTGTGGGGTTCGGCCCACGCTAACCCTATTCTGAATCTTTGCTGCGAAAAGCTCCTTGGATAGAACATGGCCTGGAGCGACCAGTTTTGAATTCGTCTTCCTTGAACCCTAAGCGCTACGCCCGGGGTGTTTGAGCATGCTCCAGCGCTTCTGGGAGGAGGGCCAATCGGCGGATGGCTCGATGCTGTACAGTGACGCTGGTCTTGTTTGAGGTTGGATAGCATAGTCGCTCACTACCGTAGTGGCTTCGCGCTCTCTGATTGCGCCATGGGCATGAACTAGCAGTAGTAGTCGCAGTAGCAGTAGTGTAGAAGCAGCAGCAAGAGGAGGAGGAGGAGGAGGAGGACTAGTAGTATTAATTAGTAGTGCTGCCGGTACTGTTGCCACGACTGCTCCTACGGCTGCTGCTGCGACTGCTACTGCTATCTGCCGTTTTTGTGTCAGGCTTTCGGAACCGCTAGGGAAATGGGACCGACATGAACGTGGCCGGATTGAACAGCAGAAGCCAAGATGTATTGAGCTTGATTCATTCAGGTTAACGTTCGAGACTGGCGGCTTCGGGCTGATGCAAAACATTCTGCTTGTAGTCCTGTTCTGTTCTGACGCCGAAGCAAGGAATAGTCTGCGCAATGCATATTGCAACCTGCTTCTAGACCCTGGAGCTATGAGACACAGACGAAACCTCCAACTCCCAAGCTCAAGAATCCTAAACCCGCCTCCAACGAGAAATTCGCAAGCGATAAAGAGCCTGAAACTGCTTATGTTAGAATCCAGCCGAAGCTTTTGATCATTAAAGCTCAGCCACCGGCTTGAAGTCTTTAGGGTGTATATAGGGTTTCTGCTTATTGCTGTTAGTTAGAAAAATGTTGCTAGAGTTGTGGATAATAGCTCAGTGTACCTCTTGTCATTGTACAATTTCAATTATTACTATCAACTCTTCTTCTTGTTATTGTCATTATTATTATTGCCATGCTCATATTTGGACTTATTGTTTGTTTATTGCTAGTATAACAAACATTGTTTACTGCTCCTTCTAGTACATAATGACAGAATGCTCGGTTTGTTCTTAGTGTTCTCCGGCAGAATAGCTACCTCCAGTGGAAGTGGAAGTGTAGTCAGAAAACCGGTTGAGGACAGACTTATATGCCTGCTCGAGTCCTAAACCTGATTATGTGAACCCCCGCACCCTAGACCCCTTGCAAGGGCTTAGAGGCTTAGGGTGGAAGTTTGGAAAGATTCCCAGACGACTTCCAGGTCTTCGTGAGTGCCCAAGCTGCAAATCCGAGCCAGTGGGAAACAAGTTAGCAGAAGGGGCCCACTGCATAAAGGCTATTATCAGGATTATCAAGGTTGCTGTAGATGGAATTACACAAGATTAGCGACCCCTTAGTCTTGGCCCTAAATAACAAGATCTTTGTTGTAAGGACCCAGCGAAGCGATTTTATCTCGACCCCAAATTGTAAGATTCTTATTCTAAGGATTCCTAACAAAGGCAAGCCCCCTGATTTTAAGAGGCCCTGCCATCTAAACCCTTATTGCATGAGGGCCAAGGCTCAAACATTTCTGGGGATGAGAAGATTGCTTGAGGAAGTCTGCAAGGGTTTAGGGTTTAGGGTCTATTTTCGGGGCTACTGGTGGGATCGGGATTGCAACTTCGGACCTTGTGCTACGCAGGGCAACGAGGACAGCCTAGCAGTGGAGGGTACTGCACCCCTTCTCGTACCTTTCTCGCTACCCTTCTCGCAAATAGCCGCCGGCATTTCTGCCAGCATGTTTTGCCTTATGACGACACTCCCCACCCCAATCCTAAGAAACACGCTGCTGAAGCACCGTAAGCCCTGAGCGTGCATCTCTACCGTAGTCCTAGTCGTGGGAAAATACAGCAACAAGTCAACCTCCAACTCTGAGCATGCGCAGTTTTGAATGGGCCCCTGCTCGAGAAGCAGAGTGTGAGACAGCAGCAGCCTTTCACTGCCTCGATTCTTTTATGTGGTTCGGGTTTACCGTTCTGCTCATGTGCGTCATTCTGCCTTGCCTCTGGCGGCCCTCAAGAGAAACGGCACTATGAGTTTTTCCAGTGCCAGCATTTCTCCCCAGGCCGGTATAGACATCAAGAAGACTTGTGCTGAAACACAAGCAGGGGACACACACACACACACACGCAGAGCTCTAATACATGTAGATTCACACTGGCTGTGAGCGGGGGCGTGTAAGTAAACGAGGGCTTAGAGATGCTATGACGACGCTGGCTGCTTCTACTCTCGAGCCGAAAGCCAAAGCCTCAAACTCTGCAGCCCAGACTCGATGTGTTCATCCAGGTTTGACCGAGCACCTCACAGCTGCTGAGCTGCTACTCGGTCGAGGTTTAGGCCCTTCAGAGTTAGGTGTTTAGCTATCGGTTACTACGGGCTTTGAAGAACAACATCTGTCTGCAATGGTCCCCGTGCCAATGTTCCTAATGATGACGAAAGCAGTGGTGACCTAACAATCGTGGTGGTGGTAGTGCTGCTGTAGCTCTGCGCATCAGTTACTCAATGCCACCGTACATATTGCGATGCTGATGCAGCGGTGATCAAGAATCAGGATGTTGGGTTGTAATGCTTACACTCTCGATGATGATGATGATGACGTTCCGTCGGTGGTGAGCCTTGCTACTCTTGGCCTCGATGTCCTTGCTTAAACCTCCGTTCTGCTCAGTGTCAGGCTGTATGCTTTGCATGACCTTGTTTAGATCTGTGGTTCCGATTGTTATGTGGACCAACGAACCCGACTCCGGCTGATGTCCTGTGGCTAAAGGCCTACCGGAGCTTGCCGTAATTATTGAACATGTGCTTGTCTTCGCCATGCAGATACCTCAACCCTAAACTCCAAACCCCAGTTTCTCGAGCCCCAAAGCCCTGCACATGCACCGAGGGAAGTTTCGGGGTTCATTCGGAGCGAACGGCAGTCGTCTTTCTAGACAGTGACTCGACACTGGTGTTGAGAAGATACATGACTGCAGTGAGTTACAGGCATCACTTTCACAAGCTCTTCCCGGGTGCCACTGTCGACGAGACCGCATTCGAATCGAACAGGCCCACGTGACACGCGGAGGGAAGGGGACCAAGGTCTGTTTCGGAAGTCGGATTCGCCGTGATGCGGGGCATAGCTGGCCGCCTTGGGCTAGATGCAAACTTGTCTCTCACATCATGCACCTAAGAAGTCGATGCAGGGCCAAATCAGGGTCTGGTCCCGCGAGCTTTTAGCTTGATACCGCTTGATCGAAATATGGCTGCCAGCCGACAAGGACGCAGAGTTAGGCATGTGCTATGGTGTGCAAGAAGAACAAGGTGAGCATGTTCTCGTGGGCCTTGCAGCACATGCCGTCGGATGGCGTGTGCAACTTTCGATGTTTTCTCCAAACTTTCGAGGCACGAAGACAAGAAAACTCCAGTCGGCAATTAAGTCTTGTCTCATGCGGGAACCTTCGAAATGGCCAGATGCTGACGTGTGGTCTGCACTAGGTCTGCATGTGTAGATGCAGTGGTCGCTAGCATCTCAGCCGCATCCGTGTTGTTCCGGAGGCTCCGCTTCCGGCTGGGGCAGCACACACCAGGTGCTGCCTTCACGATTAACTATTTGTAATACTACTAGAATACCATTATTAGAGTATTATTACAATACTTATATAGCACTATTGATTACTATTGTAATACCATCAATTTGCTATGCCAAGAGCTTTACAGCGTTGCACGTGCACGGAGACTTTCACCTCAAGCCCAGAAGGCGAATTTGCAGGCTGGTTTTGGATGGTGTTCGGGTTGCCAAGCCACGTCGAGTCTCGTGCACTAGACTTCTGGCTGTAGGGCTGAAGCTTTATGGGAATGAGAATACCAGTCGTTGTAGCATGGGAACGTGTAGTATACCCCCAGCTCACAACGGCACGGCGAGCAGGGTGCTAGCAGCCTAGCCAGCAGTCCTCATGTTCCTGTGGCATCGGCACCTGCAATCACAAAGCGCCCGTGACCGCACGCGGCACGCCACCACGAATCACCAGAAGCATGAAGCCGACTCGAAAGTGCGACCCCACCTCATCGACTAGCCCACTATAGCTCTTACCCGACCCGAGCCTGTAGCTCGCAGCCTCAGTTCCGGATGCGAAACGGCAACTGAATTTTGGACGCCTGCGTCAGGGGATCAGAGGAGCGGATTTTGTGGAGAGATTAATATTACTTTCATGTTAATATCATTAGTAGTATTCATATGTAATATATATATATGTATATATATATATACATATACATATATATGTGTGTGTGTCTGTATTTTTATAGGTATATGTATATATATATATATATGTCTATGTCTGTATGTTACTTTCGTCGGCCTGAATAGGTTTCGTTTGCGCCTCCAGCTCAACTGCTCCGGGCCAAGACCGGCAAACGGTCGACACGCCCCTCCACTGCATCTGAAATCACGACCCTGAAGCTTTAGAACCGGTTTCAGGAAGTGAAGTCTCCTTAATCAGCCAATCTCAATCCTTTCTGTGGGAGCATGTTCTATTGCTGCATCTGGGAAGCTTGAGCTCAAAACTGTTGACAGTTTGGGGAACTTTCACAAATCTCAAAAATGTCGACCCGGTCAAGAGGCCTCAAGCTACACAATTCCTATACATTGATCTTACCGCTCCGAAACCTCTCAGTAAGCCGTGAGATCTTAGCACCCACTAATCAAGCATGTGCGATTCTTCTACGATGAGGTTTGACCCGATGCCGCGGCAACATGAAACTGCAAAGCGTAGCAGAGGCCAGAAATCTTACCAAAAGTCTAGCAGAATGCCAGCTCAGGGCTCGGGGCGCTCTCAGATTACAAGGATGGTTGGTGCTGTTGTTTTTGATGCGTTTGTTCTTAGTTACTGTAGTTACTTGTATGTTCACAGATGTGTGTTTTTGTTTTTCTCGTGTTGCTCTAGTTATGGTTCTTTGTTGGATCCCGCCCAGAGCCTAGGCTAGCATTGGTACGATGCTAAGGCTTCTGCCCGGCGTGTAGCGGCAAAACCCGCTAGATGCCCAGGGGTGCAGTTCTTTGGCCGCTGGCAGTTCTTCTGGCTTCTTTCGGGCATCCAATCTCTGGAACCTTCGCGACCTGGCATAACAGGATGAGAACTACCAGGTATTGTACATTCCAAGTTGTGGAAGTTGGCATGTGTGTGAGAGAGGAGGTTGGCACAATGCATCCAACCAGATACTGCGTTTGTTACTGAAAGTACAAGCCACAAAACCAATAAGATAATATGAGAACACATTCATAGAATTAGAAGAGCTTCGTGAAATGCTGAGAAGATTGGTTACGACCCCAGCACATTTCCTAGCTTCAGAGCAAATCCGAGTTGTGGCTTGCGGCTCAGTGAGTAGTATTGCAAGTATGGTTAGAGCGGGCATCCCTCTTTGATGCTCGGGCCCAAGCCCTAGAATGTGAGTATCAAAGCTGCCCAGGTTAATATCGGAGCTGGCACCTGTGAGCCACCGGACTGGGTCTCTGGGAAGAAAGCAAAGGAACAGCTTGTTGGGACCTGTGGGCGCCCGTGTAGCCAAACTAGATCCAGTCCTCGACACTTGCGGAATGCCACACCTTTTGGACATCTGAAACCCTGAACCGTTAATTGCTCAGAGAGGGCCCTGAACCCCCTAAACCTCGAAACCCAGAAGCCAACGGCAGGGGACCCTCTGAAGATCCGACAAATGAATCCGCGCAGTGAGCTCTATCATAACTATATAGCCGTAGACACCATGCAAATAATCACACCCGTAATACTAGCGATAGTACTGTATCATAGGCTTGTTAACGAATAGCCATAATCACAATCAAGCATCCCTGTGCGAACCTCGGCACCGAAGCCTCTCAGCCCTATAGCAGCCGAAACCGGAAGGTGACAAATGAAGCTGTCTTAGAATTTCATACCCTCAGAAGCACCCTAAACCCTCAAGCAAAACCCCTTAAGCCGTTGAAACTCGAAGCCCTACACTTGGCCGTGCACCCCCAACTGTTTTGAACCTCAAGCCCTAGAAAAGTCTTAAATCCGAACTAGAAGACATGTGGCCCGAAAGCATCATTTGCGAAGAGTTTAGCGCTATGTAAAGTCAGAGAGTGAAGTACAAAAAGTCATAGAGTCAAGTGCACAGTTTGAGTACAGAGAATCTAGTGCATAGAGTCATATTGTCACAGAGTGAAGTGCATAGAGTCATCAAGTACAAAGTCCAGGTTTAGAGTTTAGGGTCTAGGGTTCAGGGTAGTCGAT